TAGTTGGGTCATCATAATAATTATAGAAGTCCAATAAATGTCAACTAAGGTTGAGGAAAACGTTTGGACAAACAAGTGCTATTTTGACTCAACCTGTCAGAAATAGCAGGAATAATTGGGAGGAACTTCCTACACCCACTTCGAGATTTTTCTACACACTAAATTGACTCAAATAATGGGGAGGGGAGGCAACCACACATGGGTGGTGCGTGTGAGAGGGATGAGAAGTCTCCAATGAGACAACAACCCATGCCCATGTCCCATGTCCCATTCCACACAATATATTGTGTGTTGATTGAGAGCCTCCACCATCTCACCTCCTACTTGCATCTTACGAGCCTCACAAAGAAAGAGGGAATCCCAGGGAAGCCTCTCACAAACTTAGAGCTTGAAGCAAGCAAGAAAGAGGAAAAATCAAGAGGAAAGTTAGGCCTTGGGTAAGAACTCTTCTAACACCCTTTCAACTAGTTTATGTTGTATGATTTTTAAGAAATCATATGGTGGATTAAACAAGAGATTCTACACGTTTAAAAAGTGTAGAATATTGTTATAAAGTGGTGGCATTTAACTTAGAAGAGTTGGTGAATCGATAGGAGTCGAAACCGCCGGAAACCGCCACTCAAAGGAGACTGCTCGAATCTGCAAAACACGAAAGCCGCCCGGTTTGTGTGAAAGCCGCCCGGCTTTTTGCTGCTGTCCAGTTTTTCCACTTTCAATCGGCCTAGAACGGGGATTGATCGAAGGGCTTAACAAAGGCAACTATTGTAGCACATCACAATGTGAGGATGGCTGACTAGATTGCTTATAATTAGTGAGTTAATTTTATGAGATTACCTAAGGTAATTAAATGTGTTTTTATGGATTATTAATGATTAATAATGCCTAAGAATGAGAAGACTGTGTCTATAAGAAAAGAGCATGATATACAAATTTAAGGGTAAATTGTGTATAATCATGTGTTATGAGTATGATTACTTGATAATGGAATTAACTATGAAATATACTTTTACTTCATATAAGAATATATGAATGATTAAAAGTGATATTTTGTATATCGATATAAAGATGATATTTTCAATGGAAAATCAGTTGGGCATTTTATAATGACCATGAATGGAAAACTGGGTTGGTTGGAATTAATTGGACTAATATTAATATACTAGTTGGACATTAAGTGAAATGTTGCTAAAATTGATCCTAAGGTTGGATTGTGAAATGTTATGCCTTAAGTAGTCTTAAGAGATACTTTAAGGTAGGAAAGTACGAAATTTAAGTTATACCAAGGGTAGGTCTTAAGGGATGCCCAAGATAAATTGAATAATAAATTGATCCTAGGTATAGGGTTGGCCTACAGGCATGTCGGTAGTCTTGAGGATAACCGGTTGAATTATGGGAATAAGTAAGGACCATGGCCCTTCCCGACTCTAGAGAGCGGGGTTGGATAGCATGGACTTGCATCGTGATCACGAGTTAGGGTGGAATCCGAATCGAAGACCTAACTAGGCTCCGACAACGGTAACACATAAGATAGGACCCCGAAGGGCCTTACCTTCCTACGGGATGATGGGTATGAGTCCAGGGGAGGGATGTTGAAGTCCGAACCGAGGGCCTCATGAGGTCTCGGACAACGGTAGCAAATCCCGTAGAAACGATAAGATCCACAGGTTGGGTTGTACAAATGATGAATGACAAAGAATATATATGAAGGGTCGTGTGCCGACAAATAAATGAATATACTTATTAAAGAGATAATGAGTGGCAAACATGAATTATCAATTATGTTATAATACGACTCTATTTGAGGGCCTTACCTTCACGGGGGAGGCCACCTCACAGTTTCAGGTAGAAGTTGAAGCTTGCTACCATCGCCCGTTCTTCGGGGGAGTTTCAAGAGAGAAGACGTGGTTCGTGCTTCCTCTGTTCTGTTTTCAAAATAATCATGATATTGCTCATGGATACTATTTTTGGATAATTAATTGGGGCTTGTATACCCATGTTTGCCAAAGTGTGGCATAAACACTTGTATTAACTGTTTTCGTTGTTTTAAATGAATGTTTTACATTATGTTTGTTTATGGATGTACTATGTGTGAATGGTAGTCAAGACGCCATGTATAATATAAATGTGTTGGACTGCGATTAACTATTCGTACTGTACGGCGGGTTGTTGACGTGTCCGGGTAGGTTCGGGGCTTGACAGTGTAAGTAGTTTTATCGGAGAAAATCAGCCATGCCCTTAATTTCCCTCAAATATTGATCCATGGATTTATGCTCTATGGATCGGGCAAGACTAGCATACATAAAACAGGTCTGTAATTTTTCAAATAAGTGAGGAAAATTTAAGATCATATACTTCAATTAAAATATCCATGGATAGAGTGGCAAATAACCATGAACAAACTGTTTGATCAATCTTGAGCCAGTGGTGGTATTCAGGATTAGAAACTTCGCGCCAAGATATATCATATATAGTAGGTGATGGCATTAGAATGGAGTCATCTACAATCCTAAGAAGACCATGGGAAACTATAAAAGGCTCAAACTTCGTGCACCACATGAGGTAATCCTCCACAACATTAAGGCGAGTAGTAACAATATTCGTTACGTTCTGTATGAAAAAAGTTATTTGCGAGTCCAAAGATGACATATATGATGGGGGGAAGATAAACTAGGCATCGAAGGAAACATAACCTGCGGTGACGACATGATGCCCGACCGGCCGGAGAGAGTTGGGCCAGAAAACTCATGGACAAAGTGACAAAATCCGGAAGAGCAGTCTTATGTGTGGAAGGCGAGACTGGTGTGAGAATCCATGTATGGAGGGTGCCAATGGAAGCCGTGTTATACTGCGGACGTCAGGTGCATGGGATGACGGCAGCTCCACTATGCTGGGAGTGGGTGCGATGCTTGGAGTAGACGAGGAAGGCACAGACAGTGGATTCCCAGAAACTAGAGGCTGCACCGAGACGGTGGATACCATCGTGGAAGACGATTGCACCATGGAAGAGGGCATCGTGATTGCAGAACTGGAAGATGTGTTGTTCATAGATGATTGTAGGCTGCAAAACCCTAAGCGACTGATACCATATACAGAAATATAATTTTGGGAAAATATTGGCTTACCTTCTTGGGTGCCTTCACCTTATATTTATAATAAACCAAGTATAGAAAATTAGAAGATAATCCCTCAATAATACATTATTACATTGATCTTCAATTAAATAAAGTCGCACAACCAGTGGTACAATATATACAAAAATCTCACCACAATTTACATTGTACAACCAATGATACGATATATCCACTCTTCAAGGAAGAAAACTTGATACGTGGACTATGATATGTGTTTTGTATCTTCATAACTGATTTATTTTAAGAACTGTTTTCATTTAAAAAATATATTTTATATATACACTAAAATCTTAATATTTATTAAAATCTAAATAATTTTAGGGAGCATGCCTTTTAATATAATTTCAAATATTATCCAGACATTTTCAGTTCTTTTTGCCAAACAGACCTATTTCATTCAACTAATATTTCAGTTCAAGCACTACAAGATTCAGTTCCATCCTATAATTTCATTTATCCAGATATTTTCAGCTCCTCTTTGCCAAACGAGCCTACTTCATTCAACTAATATATTAGTTTCGGCATTTTAAAATTCACTTCCATCATGTAATTTTCATTTATGAGAATGTGTCTCTCGAATAGAGAAAATGTTATAAGACAATTGTATCAAATGGAAAAAACATTATTAAAAAAGATACTCCATAATTTTTAATATGGAAGTAAATAGGTCAATCTATATTGTCAGTCTCCTTCATATCTTCCTAAATCATAAGATTTGAGAAAATATATGAAGAGTGACAATACAGATTGAAATACTTATTTAAATATTAAGGACATAGGAGGTCAAATACAAGTAAGAGTTCTTTTCTGGCTTGATGGGGAACTTCATGCGGACTAGCCCGTTTGAGAGTCTTCCCGGTGGAATTTTTTGATGAAATATTTTGAACGTATTTCTCATCAATTTTAGTTTATGAATGAAAAATTCCAGCTCAAAATTTGATCGGAAAGGCAGACAAATAAATCCTTGAAATATACTGCGTGCGCTTTATATATGACGTAAAAGCTTTGAATCTATTTTATACACATTAAGGGCATGTTTGACAGACATACGCTCCTGTGTTCTAGCTTCTGTAATATTTAAAAAGTCTTTAAAAGCTTCTAGTTGTATGTTTGACACGCCAATTTTTAAGAGCTTTTATAAAAATAAAAAATCTTTTTTGAGATGCTACAGTGAGTAGCATCTCAGATAAGTCTGTAGCTTCTAGCATTAATTAGTTCTAACAACATGTATACCAAACAAAGCTAAATTAAACAGTCATCTTTTTACCAAACAACTTTTGTCTTTTCTTTTTAAGATCTTTTCAGTCAATAAAAACTAATAGTTACTAAAAATCTCATAAAAGTATCTTTTAAACTAATTGTCTTTTAAACTAGTTGTGTCAAACATATCATTTTCAGTTTAGGTGTGGGACATTGCTTAGAAATCCTCGAGTTTTTGTCACTTTTAGTTCCTCGACTATTGTGTCAGTGACACTTTTGGTACTCGACTTTTAATTTTTCCACTTTTAGTCCTCGACTATTGTGTGAGAGACACTTTTGGTATTCGTCTTTGAAAATTTACGTATTTAGTCCTTCGACTTTTGTAGAAGTGACACTTTTGGTCCTTCAACTATTGCTATAGAGACATTTTTAGTCCTCCATTTATTGTGTCAAAATCATAGTAGAAGGACTAAAAGTGTCAATTTGATAATACTCAAATGACTAAATGTGGGAAACTTGAAAGTAGAGGACTAAAAGTGTCTCACGAACAACAGTCGAGGACTAAAAATGGAAAATTTAAAAGTCGTGTACCAAAAGTGTCACTGACACAATACTCGGGGACAAAAAGTGGCAAAAACTCAGAAATCCTCTGCTTCCATGTCTTATTGCTGAAGACGAGTGAGTCCCTGGTGACACAGGTCACCCTCCCCCAATTTCCAAACAGGCTTATTCAGTTTCTCCAAGGGTTTTGAAGCCAAAATCTGGAACCAGAAATGTCAGCAATCAGAAACAATGCGAGATTGATTTCAGGAACTGTGCGCTCTTTTCTCACAGGGTTTTCACCTTCCACTCCGGCACTAAACGTGTGCAGGTCCGGCACACGCGCCTTCAGCGTATATCCTCCTCGATTCGCTGCAGCTTCAGATGCGAGCCATCTCGAGAAGAAGATCCCGCGGCGGCGACTTGGGAAGGTTTACGGCTTCCTTCTACAAGACGATGTCGGATCCTACGCGAATAAAGAAGATATTCCTAAGATCACTCTAAGTACTCAACCTTCCTTCAAAGTCTCTCTCGTGGTGCATCCCTTCGTTTAAAATTCGATTTTTACATCTTCATTTCGACGATTCTTTGAATACATTATGAGTTATTAGGATTTAATTTCTAGGATCCTGCAGGGAACAAAATTTCAGAGCACCTTCTTTGAGACCTTTGGATTTCCTTCCTCAATAGACAAGAGTGTCTTCTTTTGTGTTGATGAAGGAAATCCAATTTGGTTACATAATCAATGGTGCTCTCGCATAGGAGACTTGAAGAGTATGATCCTCTCCTTATAAAACCTCTACTATGGAAGGCATACAAGAATATTCTGTAGTTTTAAAATCTTGCTTTTAAACTCATGATCTTATTTGATGCCACCTACCTATGCAGATTTTTCGCTTTGGTAAAAATTTGGAAAAGGTTGAACTTTGAAGTCCTAAATGCTAATTCAACTTTACTTGTACATCCAGAGCATGTTTCTGTGAGCTTTACTGGACAAGGAGAATCCACCAAGGTTAAACCTACTGCAGAAGGTGATATTGCTTCACTGGAAATGAAGTTGTTACAATGAAATTTTATATTCGCCTGACAAATTTCTTTTCCTTGCAGCAACCGCAGCTCATAAAAAGCGTGGGAGCGCACCCCCAAAAAATAAGAAGGGCGGGAAGCAGAATAAAAATGCCAGTGCAGGTTGTTTATCTCATGTTAAACTATAAAATGGGAAATTGATTTTCTTAAAGCATCTGACCAATGTGGTGTCTTTTGCAGAAGCCAAGCCTCGTATAAGGAGTATTAACACAGGTCTACTAATTTTCTTAACTCCACATATAGCACACAACATCAATCTCTAATACCAACTATGATAAAAAAAAGTTTCTATGTATTTGCAGCTGGAACCAGGGTTGTTTTGCGGTTAGATGTTCAAAATGCAAGTTGGTTAGGTGAAAGAGTCAGGGAAAGGATCATGTTGATGGTTAGTGTTATTTATTACCAATTCTATGTTGCAATGGAGTGTTCTTTCCTGTTTAGTTTAGTGGTATGTGGTCATGACTCATGAGCATCAAATATTTTGACGATCATTAAATGATGTTAGTGCAATCACATGTGTACTTGTTTCCATCATTAAAGTAGCACATATTAGTGGGTTGGAAACTTTGAATGTTGTGCACCACTGTGTACTATCTTCACTTTCATGGTTCATCAATAATGGACCAAGGCTCAATAAGTTTACACAAAAGGTGTAATTTTTAGGGCGAGCTCCAGATTATGATTTATTTCATGGGACTCTTGTAGCAACAAAACACATTGTATTCATGAGAATCTCTATATAAACTATCAAGTTATCAACCACACCGTGAAAGTTATGCCACAATGGGCAACTACAAAAATCTCACATATAACATATTGGACTACTCCTAACTCCTTTTATCACACTGATCTTTTAATATTGAAGTATACTTCATAATCTAGTATAAGAACATATTAAGCTCCAATGAGCAATTTGGTCATGTCTAGTCTAACAACAAAAGCACAAATTTCAAGATTGGTTTATTTAAATGAGCTGCCATCTTGCACGTATATGTTAAGTCATTCTACATAAGGCACATATACAAGTATAAGCTCACATGGAGCATAAGATTTTGGACTACTCCAATTGGCTTCTTAAGATGGAATCTCAAATCTGAATACACACTAGGTTCTCTCTTTTCTAATAGTAGTGACTAGTAACCATTTTTCTTGAAAGTTCACTGTAAAGAAACTTATGTCCTGGATGAGCTCATAATTATCCTTCACAAAATTCAAATCATACAACACATCGATGTTTTGATGAGAAGCTAGTCAAAAGTTAAAACACATATGGGTAAAAAGCTACTCCCACCATCCCAAAACAAGGTCTCCATTTTCCTTTGCTGTCTCACATTAATAAGATTCTCATTCTTTTTTTGTGTGTAAAAGACGTAGGTAAAAAAATGTCGTGCCCCACTTCACACAAAATTAGTCTCCAAAAGAATGTCTAAAAAGTCGTGCTGAATTCTTATACTCCCTCCGGTTTTTATTAAAGTTCCCGGTTTGACTTCACACATATTAAGAAAATGAATTTGACTTTACTGTGGAGTGCACTATTTGGCACTGTTTGGCACTGTTTGGACACTGTTTGGCACTGTTTGGCACTGTTTTGCATTGTTTTGTTTCCTAAAATGGAAGTGTGAACTTAAATAAGGGACATCCCAAAAAGGAAAGTGGGAACTTTAATAAGAACCGGAGGGAGTAGCAACCTTATACAAGGATCGAGGAATCAGGTGTCAGGTACTTAGAGTTGCTTCTCCATGCATATGAGGTTCACATATCATGTTTTTAACACAAGAGCAGCATGGGGGACAGGGGCCTGTGCCTCTGTGCATGACCCCATAATTTGATTTATCGTGGTGCATTGTGTGACTCACTTTGCAGTGGTCAAGCTGTTCCTGAAAATCTTTTCACAAATATGTTCTTTTAGGTCTGATCCTGAATCCTGAGTATTTTTCTTTCTTTTATATCCCTCTTTAGCTTTTGGGCTACTTTTTCTATCTCTCAGTTGTGTTTAGATTGAAAGTGGTTTAATTCCTACTAGCAGAGACAATTACAACTTTTTTGTCTTCTTTCGCCCTTTTAAGCTTAATTTTCAAATGGCATGAACAGGAAAAAGATAGAATTAAAGATGGGAAGCTCGAGCTTACCTCATCAAAGACTAGAAGACAAGAGTTAGTACCTGTTTTCTTTTGAATGCCTTTTCACATTTCTCTTCCATGTTTTTCATGAAATAACTTGTGTACGCATAATTCTACAGGAATAACTATGACGAGGCTGTTACAAAGATGAATAAGCTACTTGAAAAATTTCAGGTAAAACACCTTACTTGTGGGAAACTCTTCTTGAGATGTCTATTATTAAGCGCCATTTTCCCCTCTTTTTATGCTGAATCAGGCTATCATTAATGCTGCCGCATATACACCATTACCCACTCCGAAGGAAGTGGTGGACAAGATTGTCAACTTCCGGGCTGGGAGAGTAGACTGCTAGTGGATAAAGTTTCCCCGTTTTCAGAGTGTGGAGGGTTAGATTAGATGTAATTCGAATGAATGTAGAACAAATAATTTCTCTTTTGAGATAGTTTATCATGTTGGTTGTAATTTTATATTTATTTGATATAGATGGTTTAACATCACCTCGTATGAGAGCTCCCATTCAGGCATATCAATCCTCAAATCATGTGTTTGTTGTTTGGATTCAACAGGATTAAATTATTTGGTCGAGTTTAATATTATCGTATAATGTGAAAGATTAACAGATGAAGTCAAGAATCTTATTCGTTTGTATTTTTTAGCTGTTCAAAGTAAAGTGCATGGAACAATTATCAGTTAAACAGATTATGTCAAGATAGAGCTTCATGGAAATACAGTGGAGAGCCCATCCCAAGTTTGGTTAAAATGCACTCGTATTATTTTTGTGATCTATTTGAATTTTGAACTTTGAAGTTCATTTTTTGGGGGGTTGAGAGTTGAGACTATGCAGGGACAAAGTATATGGGTTAAGGGGCAATCAGGCAACAAAGGTATACCTTCGAGAGCAAATGAGACATTAAGCTAAATTTTAGGGCAAATAAAACACTTTTGATAGTTATATTATCAATTTAGCCACTCATTAACGTTTCTAACGGAAGCCAACAACTTCTCCCAACCATACTCCGTTAAATTTCTAACTTGGGACTGAAATTTAAATAAAAAAATGAGAGGACCAAAATTAAAAAGAATACTAACTTGTCTTCTTGTTCACAATTCTTCATCGCCACATGGCCCAGTTAAATATGGTGTATTTTAGTACTTAAGCAATTATCCTTATTTTCAAACCAACGCCTGAAGACAAGTTTTAAAACTTGACGCTTGAAATTGAAAGTAGCTGAAAGAAACCATTCTCAGTGCTAAGGAAATATAGATTAGTTGTTTATTGTAAATACTGAAAGCTTGAAACTCAATTAGCAAATTTTATTAGACCTGCAAATTTATACTCCCTATGTATTTAAAAATTCAATTAGAGCTTGGAACTCGATTAGCAAATCTAATAAAGTCTTGCTGTAATCTTTTTTGAAAATTCAGCACACCTGAATTATGTTTATAAATATTATTTTTTGTATATCTCAAAATACTCTTCCTGAGAGACTATTTTCAAATAATCAATATTCATTTAAATCAAAATATGGATGTTTTCAAAAGCAGATAGTAATGTTTTCAAAACCCATCACATTTATTTCTTGAAGGTGCTATTAAAAAATATATCAGCTCGAAATTCACACTGTTATACTTCATCCCAGATCAAATTTTGTTTCAAGATTGACACCTATATTTCATTCGAGCAGAAATTTAGGGAACTATATTTGACATTTATTACAGTAACTGCTATTTTATTATCTTCTGTTTTCTTTTTTTTCTTGAGAGCACCGAGTTATGCATAAGTGTCCTTATTATCTTCTGGTCTTGCATAATTTGCATCAGTGCTGCAACTCACGACGGCTTTCTGTCTAATTCTTTCTACTTAAAGAACATAGGTGCCAAGAAACAACAGGAAGCTTTGACCTCTACGGCTTTACCTCTTGCGTATGCTCTATCGAGTTTTACTCCCGTTGCTATATTGAGTTTTCACATGAACATGCATGAACACACACACATACCAGTGATATTCTTTCTTGCAATCTCAAAACTTAAGTCATAGAGAGATAGAAGGTTTGAGTGGTGTTGTTTTGCAATGAGGTTTCTAGTATTTATAGGGAAAAATAAACAATCCTTCTTGAAGAAGGTTCACCCTGTCCCAAGGGATAGACTGGCTGAATTATGAGCTGATACCTTTCTCTACTTTTTCAGATTTAATACTCCTTTGTTTTTATAGAGAAGTGTGTACGCATGCCCCAAGACAGTCCAACGGGATTTGACACATGTTGCTTTTTATTGTAGATGATGTGAGAATTAATGGAAAAGGTACCGACTTCGCCCTCGTATGCATGGGATGAGTATTAAGTACCAGTGCATGAGGAATATCCGACGAGGATATGATGGGCGTGGATATAGCGGACGAAGGCGAGGGTGAGGCCGTCACTAGTGGTGGGGTAGGTGGGGCAGTGGAAGTGTCGGGAGAAGAGTCGTGTGTGGTTGTAGGTGAGGGTGGTGAGAAGCTGTACTTGGCCGAGGGAGGAGATGTGTGCCGGTGACTGCAATTGTCGAGCAAGGTCGGGACAGTAGGGTGGGGAATTGCATTGGGTTGAGGTAGAAGGCTATGGGAGTATGGATTGGACAGAGGGGTCGAGGCGGTGTTTGTGAGAGTAAGGTCAGTGGTTGGAGGAGTGGATGAAGAAGAGGTGTCAGTCGCAGAAGAAGACAATGTGGTATATGGAAAAATATTTTCATGAAAGCGAACATGTCTACTGATAATACTTTACCAGACTTAGACTCAAAACAACGATAGCCCTTAAAACCAGACGCATAGCCAAGAAAAACATATTGAACGGATCGGAGCGCGGAGAAAGTTTATTGGAGGAAGAGGCAGAAAAATTGGGGTAAGAGACAAATCCAAAAACTCGTAAAAAACTATAATCAAGTGGTCTTTGAAAAAGAATATCGTAAGGAGAAACACCATTAAGTGAAGGAGTAGGAAGTCTATTAATAATATATGCATCTGTAAAAATAGCATCAACCCAAAATGTGCTAGTAATAGAGGCTGTGATGAGCATAGTCCTAGCAAATTTTAAAATATGACGATGTTTGCGTTCAGCAACACCGTTTTGTGTAGGAGTATGTGGGCAAGGTTTTTGAAAATAGATGCCATTGTCATCAAAAAAATGTTGCATATTAGAATTAACAAACTCACTCCCTCCACCAGTTTAAAAAAATTTAATTTTAGAGTGAAATAGATTTTCAACTAAAATTTTAAACAAGCGAAACTGTTTAAAAACTTCACTTTTAGCTCACAAGGGATATATATCCAGGTAAATCTAGAAAAATCGTCAATAAAACACACATAATATTTAAAGCCTAAATTAGATAACACAGGTGATTGCCAAGCATCAGAATGAATTAATTGTAATGGTGCAGAAGAATTATGGCTAGCATCCGAAAAAGGTAATCGTTGAGATTTACCCAAATGACAAGAAACACAATCATGTTCAAAATTAGAAGAACTAGAAATAAGTTTTCTACGATGCAACAAGCGCAAAATAGTTTCACCACAATCTCCTAATCTACGATGCCACATAGGGCCAGGAGAAGTAACGGTGGCAAGAGCGAAAGGTGCATATGAAGTAAGGCTGATGGGGTAGAGATGGCCATTATGACGCGCCTGAAGAAGAACTGCCCCCGAAATTTTGTCCTTAACAAAAAAATAGTTTTTATAAAAAATAGCAACACAGTTGTTATCAACACACAATTTTTGAATAGAAATTAAATTAAATTAAATTTGAGGCACATGAAAAACAGATTTCAATGACAAGGGGCGACTAAGAGTATTTAAGGTAATATTTCCAATATTAGCAATAGGCAGATTAGTACCGTTTGCCACACTAACAGTCATGGAGCCAGAGTAAGGGAATTTATTTGACAGAATACCTTCAGAAGATGTCATGTGAGCAGAGGCACCAAAATCTGGATACCACAAATTAAAACGTCGTTGGATTCACCACTTGGAGTAATCAAAGCAGGTGCAGAAGGTTGTGAAAATCGAGACGGACAGTGCAACGCAGAGTGACCTGCAGAGAAACAAATTTGACACACAATTGGGGAAGGAATAGACCCGAGAATACCCTCAGATGACGGGAAACCTGCAGAAGAACAGTGAGTACCAAAGATAGATTAAGCATTAATATTTAAAGTGGACACAACAAATTTACCAGATGCGTCATTAGGAGGTCTCGGGACAAGAACACCCCCTGCAGGTCTCGGCCCGGGCTGGCTGGAGTGTACCACAGGAGATGATGGTGCATAGAACTGCGACTGCTGCTGTCTTCCTCCTCTGCCGCGACCCCCGAGGCCTCGGCCTCCTCTGCCGCGGCCGTCACGGCCACGTGAAGCTGGCTGTCCCTGCTGTCCAGTCCCCTATTGAGCTGCAAATGCTTGGTGAGGAGAAGTATTATCATGTTCTTGTTGATAAAACAGCTGCTGCTCGGCCTCCATGAGGCATGGGTGGAGGATTTCCGGTGGAAAACTCTCAGGAAACAATGATATAGTGCCCGTAACAAACCGATACTCAGGGCCTAGTCCTTGGAGCGTGCTTTGTAATAAATCTTTATCAGTGACGGGTGAATTAATTACAGCTAAAGCATCAGCTAGAGTTTTAATTTCACGTAAATAGTGCTCCATGGACTGATTTGATTTCTTTTTAGTATTAGACAATAAGCGTTTAAGCTCCATAGCTCTAGGTAAACTGGCAGACATAAATCGTGATTGTAAACGCTCCCATATACCCAGTGAATGTTTAATATCATGGACATCAGTTAATACTTCACGAGATAAAGTAGCAAACAACCAAGAACGAATTATTTGGTCTACTCTAAGCCAATGATAATAATCAGTATTAACGACTTGATGATTATTAAAATCCAGCGTGTACAAGGGAGGTACCTGAATAGAGTCGTCTAAAATACCAAAAAGACCCTGGGACACCATGAATGATTCAAATTGAGTGCGCCATGTAAGATAATCTTCAACTGCTTTGAGTTTGATGGTAACAATCTGACCAACATTTACAATTCCATGAGAAATAGCCTGAGCCATACCTACCATAGGAGAGCCGAATAGAGGGTTGTCGGTCTGGGGTCGCACTATTCTGGGAAAACCAGCGAACGAGGGCCCAAAATATGGAGAGGTTGGTGGTGGCCACTGTGGGGGACTTGGATGGGCCGGCGGCATGAGAGGTCTGACGGGCTGCCATGGGAATTGCGGCGGCAAAGAGTTGAAGATGGAGTAGGATGGTCCAGCCATGTATTGTCCAGTAGGAAAAGAGCAGAAGAGGGGATCGGTGGGTTGCAAAGGTTGTGAAAATCCCACCCGATCCATCCTGTGCGGCGGCAAAGAGTGAAGACCAACCTGATGAGGGTGTTGCGTTTGGGTGCTGTCCAGAGAGACTGAGGCATCGGAAGCAACTGGGATTCCTACTGCCGGAGGGGTGGAAGTCGGCGGCGTAGGAGGAGTGGAGGTCCGCGTCGCCATAGAAAAGTCCTGCTGCGACATGGCTGCTACGCGGAAGAGTGATCGAGCGAAAAAAAAGAGAGAGAGAGAAAAAATAGGATTTTCTCTAGGCTCTTGATACCATGCGAGAATTAATGG